GTTAGAAACATCGATGAGAGAGAAACATCGATCAGCTGCCTCCTGCACACCCCCCACTGGGGATGTGCCCACAACCAAGGTACATGCCCTTGACCCGAATCGAACCCGGGACCCTTCAGTCCGAAGGCCGGCGCTCTATCCACTGAGCCACACTAGTTAGGGCCGCCTCCTTTTTTAAAAAAACAATAAACAAGGAGCGAGAGAAAGTCCTGGCCTGGCCCAGCTGGTGTGGCTCAGTGGTTGAACGTTAACCTGTGAACCAGGAGGTCAGGGTTCGATTCCCGGTCAGGGCACACGCCCGGGTTGTGAGCTCGATCCCCAATGTGGGGCGTGCAGGAGGCAGCTGATCCAGGGTTCTCTCTCATCATGGATGTCTTTCTCTCTCTCCCTCCCCCTTCCTCTCTGAAATCAATAAAAATATATTCTAAAAACATAAATAAAGGGGAAGGGCCATTATGACCACGCATGCCCCATGCTGTCTGCTCCCTCTCCCGACTCCCAGGGCCTGGCACGGACCGGGCACCTGGCGAAAGCCCATCAAACCCTGAGTGGGGAGAGGGCGGGAGACAGGGACGGAGGAGGGAGGGAGGAGGGGGCCTCACCTGGGCTCCTCACTCAGCCTCGTAAACAGCCGCTTGAGACCACCCGCATCCCCTGCTCCAGCCCCCCCTCACCGGCACCCTGCCTGCCCCGGTCCCGGCCCCCATAAGACACATGAATGAAGCGCGGCTGGCCCCTCCTCGGCCTCCCAGGGGTTCGGTGGGACTTGTTTTCGGGTCCTGCCTCCTCTGCGTGACCAGATACAGCCAGGGCCGGAGCCTCCCAAGCCGGTCCGGGAAGGTGCAGGTCTGAGGCCTCCCGCCTCTCCCGTCCCATCTGTCTCTCCGACCCGCTGGGCGATGCGCCCAGACCCACTTCCCTCCCTGGTCAGCTTTCGGGCTCAAAGTCAACCTCACACTCAGATCTCTCTCTTTTTTAAAAAAAAATATTTTTTTTACTAGAGGCCTGGTGCACTATTTTGTGCACGGGTGGGGTCCCATGGGGTGGCCCGCGGGGATCGGGCCAAAACCCGCAGTTCAATGCCAACTGCAGGTCCTACCTGCGCTCCCGCTCATTCTGGCCCCACTGTGCCTGCCTCGGGCTCGCGCCCAATCAGTCCCAAGGGGAGTGGCCTGCGGGATCGGGCCAAGCCGGCTCTCCGACATCGCCCAAGGGGTCCTGGATTGTGAGAGGGCGCAGGCCAGGCCGAGGGACCCCACTGGTATATGATCAGGGCCGGGGAGGGACCAAAGGAGGGCTCCAGGGCATGTCCAGCCCGTCTCACTCAATCCTGATCTGCCGGACCCCAGCAGCAAGCTAACCTACCGGTCGGGGCATCTGCCCCCTGGTGGTCAGTGCACGTCATAGCGAGCGGTTGAGTGGCCTTAGCATATCATTAGCATATTAGGCTTTGATTGGTTGAACAGTTGATTGGTCATTGGATGACTGGACACTTAGCATATTAGGCTTTTATTATATAGGATTGATTTCAGACAAGAAGGGAGAGGGAGAGAGAGAGAGAACCATCCATGATGACAGAGAATCATGGATCGGCTGCCTCCTGCACGCCTCCTACTGGCATGTGCCCTGACCGGGAATCGAACCGGGACCTCCAGGTTCATAGGTCGATGCTCAACCAACTGAGCCACACTCAGATCTCTGTGTGTCATCTTGCCAGCAGCCTCCACTGCAGCTGCTCCCCCAGCGGGCTCTTCCTGGCATTAACACAACAAAAACCCCCGGCTTCTGTGAACGAGGAAGTGGCCGGATGAGAGAAATCTCCCGCCTCCACCCCCAGCTCACACCCGGGCAGGGGGCGCCCTGTCTAAATGCCAGCGCCCGGGGCACTGACCGCCCAAGAGCCCAAGATGAGGATCAGTGGGCGAGGAAGGAAGGGAGGACAGAGAGGAGCCTGTCTCCCCGAGCCCGGCTGCACGGAGCTGGTCTGGTGGGGGGCTCGGTTCCTTCCCTGAAGCGTGCGAGTCTGCGCCTCATTTGTCATCGCGTCCGTCGCTTGACAAATGCTGGCTTCGGCGCGCCGGCCCGGGCGGCTGGCTGAGCGGACGCCTGTCTGGAACGGCCAATGTGAAATCCCAGGGAGATAAATCCACGCCGGCCAAGGCCACGGAGGAGGCCGGGGTGTGGGGAGGGGCACGGGGCCAGGCCGGCCCTTGTCTCAAACCAGAGGAGCGCGTTCTAGGGTTGCTTTTATTTTTATTTTAAAATATATTTTTATTGCTTTCAGAGAGGAAGGGAGAGGGACAGAGAGAGAGAGAAATCAATGATGAGAGAGAATCACGGATCGGCTGCCTCCTGCATGCCCCCCACTGGGGATGGAGCCTGCAGCCCAGGCCTGTGCCCTGAAGGGGAATCGAACCGTGACCTCCTGGTTCATAGGTCGACACTCAACCACTGAGCCACATCAACCAGGCTCCCTCCCACCCCCAAAGTCTAATCAGTGAAGGCTTTAGGAATCAGCCCACACTGCCTGTGTTAATGAACTCGGTGAAGGGTCCATGAAAGATCTGCTATTTGGGATGTGTGTGTACAGGCCACTGGGGGAAACAGCTCCCTCTAAAACCCACGGAGCTTCGGACTGGCTACTTGAGGCAAGACCGAGTCACCAGAGCTGTGGCTCCACCAGCATCCAGAGGCCCTGACCCCACGCCGCACACGTCTCCCCTGGGCACAGGGTACGACCGACGTTCACCCGCTTCTTGTCTCTGACTGACAATGAGAGAGCCAGGATGCTGGGCATTGGCAAATGAAAGCAAAACAACCTCTCTCTCTCTTTCTCTCCCTCCCTCACTTCCTCTCTCTGTAAAAATAAAGTCAATAAACATGTCCTTGGCCCTGGCCGGTGTTGCTCAGTGGATAGAGCGTCGGCCTGTGGAATGAAGGGTCCCGGGTTCGATTCCGGGTCAGGGCACATGCCCGGGTTGCGGGCTCCATACCCAGTGTGGGGCATGCAGGAGGCAACGATGGATGTTGAGGTTTCTCTCTCATCATCGATGTGTGTCTCTCTCTCCCTCTTCCTTTCTCTCTTATCAGCATATCCTTATGCAAATTAACTGTCAGCCAAGATGGCGGCCGGCAGCCATGCACTGAAGCGAGAAGGGAGGCTTGCTTGCTCCAGTGACTGCGGACTCCAACGTTCCCCGCCTGAGTTGCCGGCCTCTCAGCTGCAACTCTAAGCAACTATGTACTATGTTGCAAATATAGAAGCTAAACAAAACCCCAGAAACCTGCGTTAGTCAGCCAGGCTTCAGCCAGCCGGACCGCAACATTGTATCAAATACAGAAGGAAAAACAAAGGCCAGAAACCGGCTTTCAGCAGCCGAGGCCTCAGAGCTAAAGCTGGCCCAGAATAAAAAAAAAAAGAAAAAAAGGAGCGGTTGGGTGCTTCAGTCACCCGCCAGCCAGAAAACGGCCCTCAGCCCCTCAGCCAG